TGTGGAGATGGATCTTCCTGTTTGGCCACAATATACCGTGTCACAAGCTTCATATGGGAGTTTATAGATGGCTTTTTTCTTATCGAGGTAGCCAACCCTATTCTTAGGGTGCACTAGCCGAGCGCACACAGGAGAACTTAGAATTTATTGCATGTCCATCTTTAATATGAGGTGCGGGCATTCTCATAATCAGGACGACTGGACTGGATCAGCCCCGCTAACGGTTATCCTGTGCGTTACGGCGGACATGGGAAAAATCTGAACAGGAGGATTCCAAAGTCAGGGCGTGTATTCAAATGCAGACTGAAGCGTAGAGCTTATTTGACAGTAGCGGCATTTTCCAGTGTGAGAAGTAAGGGTGAGTTGGTGGTGGTGGTGTTGATTGTGTGGTGGAGTTGAAGGCGTCCAACAGGGCTACTCGGTCCCTGGTATGCGCAGTGGGAAAGCTAGGCGAACGTAGCATGGATCCGGCATTTTGTTCACGCTGTTTTCCTCTCTCATCTCCTATGTTCGATCAGCTTTTAAACTCCTTCCCCTCCCCGCTCGATTTCACGGCGGATCACAATGCCTGCTCACCCTGTGCTAGACCATTTCAGGATTCTCGTATGAGCTTTCTCAACTGTCCTAGGAAGTCACTCGTTGATGAACGCTCACCTGACCGACAACGGAACCCACCTGTCCCGCTCTGCTTTGGGCGTCAGCAGTGATCCTTATACCCGTAACAGCTGGAATTAGCAGGCAGATAATATTGCCGGCAAAAAAAGTCACGAGTTTGAGGCTCGATGGGACATCACTTGGGTCTGGGTATGACTGGCTAACGACGGCTAATAAGCCAGAAATGGCCATTCCAGTATCCTTTGTCTTTAATGGCAATATTATCTTTCCTCGGAAGGATGTATTTGTTCTCCTCGTCAGCCATAAAGTTCCACTTAAGTTGCATGTACTTCAAGTCTGACAAAAAAAAATATTGACCGTTTCGGTCTGTTCGGGGTCTTTGGGTATACGAGACGTGCTTTACCGCCGCTGAAGGTACGTGTCATTGAAAGAATAGAGAATATTCAAGGTTTCTGTCCCATAAATATTTGTTAGAAGCACCAAGCAGTTGTGCAACTTGCCATCAGTTCTTAGTTTACAAAGTTGAAAAAAGGGGGCGTCCTCAAGGGTGTTTAGTTCTAAGTTGCTTATGAATATTGCTGACAGGCAAAAAATACATTATTTTCTTGTTTTTGAAAGTGTAAGTGAACGAACTTTCTGTTTTTCAACTTACCACATTTTTAGTTTATTCATGTATAGGAGTTAGGACTAAGACGGTTAATT